CTATTGCATTAGTTTTTCTGAAAAGAGGAACTAAAGAGTGCAGCGAAGTCTGCTTGCAGAGCAGCAGTGTTTCCATTTCCAAAAGAAAAAGAAACAAAACTTATAGGATAAAATTCTGTTGATCCATTGGGAATTTAAACCAATCATGATTCTTGCCTTAGTGTCTGATATCACTGACAGTATTAAGTAGACTGAATAGGCTGATCACAAGACAAAAGCCAGACCATATGCTTGCAGCATCTAATAATTGAAGTTTCCATAGGTCTGAACCCACAAATAAAAAACAAAATTAACAAAAAAATAAAATAACAGCAGTAATAAACAAGTTGTCATACTAGCTTCTTCAATTAAATACGTGTGTTAATGATATACGGTGCCCATTGCCATTCATCAGAGAACCTCCGAGTGCTTTGCAAATATTACATAAGTCTTACAAAGGGATCAATTTGCTCACTACTACTGAAAGACAGACACCTTTCAGGTGCAAAGTAGCAGCTGGTTAACTAGCACACTGCAACACTACATAACGGTTTAGGGCAGAAGGTGGAGAAGAATGCCTTAGTAAATTGAGACTGCAGAGAAATCCATGGAGGCAGAATGTAATTACCTGAATTGGAATCAGGCCAGGGCTCCAGGAGTTAACACCCCTTCCTATGTGAAAAGTGCATTGGGATCATTAATAGCTAAAAGGACACTGGCTTCATGACAATCATATACTTTCTTTTAAAGGAATAATTTTAGGAAAGAGACATTACCTTTTGCATTCTGTACCTTTAATAGCAGTTAGATACTGAAATGTAGTCCACATAATACCTTCCCAAAGAACAAAATATATACCAGTTTTCCAAGAATTATCACCACAAGAACAAACAATGAAGAAGAGTCTTTCCCCCTACCCTAACACACATGACCCACACGTGTCTGTTCTTCCTTCCTGACTGGAATTACAGCAGGCTAAGCAAAGAGAATACATTCCTTTGCAATTTCAGCAGCTGCATGTTTGCAGCTTAGTGCTCACTGTTTAAAATCATTGCTTTTCTCTCATTTACTGACTGAGGTTCTTTCTCTCTAATCATGTGACCTGTCATACGTGAAGACACAAAGTATAGCAATCGACTCCCTTTAAATGTCTTAGCTTGCAGATTCAAGTATTGCATGCAAGCTTCTTACTTCCCAAGCTCTTTGTAGCTCAGATTCCCATCTTCAACTTTACTATCATAACTGTCTTTGCTTCCTCTTTGGATACTGACCCTTCTCTTCCCTCTGTTCACTGTTTTTTCCCCAAGCCTGCCTTTCAGTTTGCTTTAACGCAGCTGCCCTTGCAGGCACTTCGAAGGCAACTCTTTACCAACTGGCCTTAGCAGACTGCTCTAGATCCTGTTATTAATTCCACCTTTTCCAGGAGCAAGAGCTTCCTCACATGATGCACAAATTCACAGCCTGATGAAATTTATTGTTAGGTTTCTTCACTACTATGACAACATGCTATATAGCAAGTGCAATACTGGTCTGTTATTGATCATATGTGAAGACAGTGGGATCTATTGCACAATAATTTGAACCAAAGAATGGAGTCTATGGCTATCCTTCATATGCACATTTAATTTGATATATAATCAAAGGAAATGTGTAAGAAGCTGTCACATATTGCTAATTGCTGACTTATTTCATCCAAAGACTACATATTAGGCAAGATCCAAACTACAGTAGCACTGCTTGTTGACCTGTATCCTTATATATTGTAACTGTATGTTCACAGGTTCACATATCATTCTCCACAGTGTCTCACAGTTGTCTTCTACAGAACTTCATTTGATGAACTACCAGCTTTCTGCTTATTAGTCTGGTATATAACTTTTCAGCCACACCCTTAAGCCCCTTATCACTTGCACAGCTACAATAATTAGATTTCCCTTTTCTTAAAATTTCATGTCACTAATTTACCCTACAAGCACCATGAGATGTGATAGCAGATTTTATCTCTCAACATTGGATCAAGACATATCCATACTTTGGGAATTGATTTTTTGTTGCTACAAAAATTGAGGACAGCTTTAGTGAACTTTTTGAAGTCTTATGAACAAAGTATTCTTGAATTTATGAATATCACAGCTCAAATTCCATTTCCAGATTCACTGTGCTTCGTGGTGAGCTCACGCACACATAGACATACCAAATAGATGGCTATTATTGCAATATGACTATCAAGGGGACATATAGATATTCTCAGAGACAGAGAGGTAGAAAATACTATTTGATGTTTCAAGGACTGGATCATATCTTTTTCTGCTAAAAGTTTCTTCTGGTCTTCTTTTCAACTAATTGGATAATACAAACATACAAGAATCTAAACTTCCAAATTAAGTGAAAAAAAAAGAAAATGTGGATCAGTATACCATAAGCAACTGGAAAACAGACGGAAAAACCTAAGGTCATCTCTCAGTTCTCCAACACCTTGATCACTACTTAATGTTGGAATTTCACAATGCTTTTCTTATTTCTTATTCTACCACATTAATCATCATACCTATTCCCCTGCAGGCCAAAGAAAGGCTTAGTTGAAGATGTCATGCCCCAGTTTTAGAAAATAAGTAAAATCCACCAGTTTAGAAAAAAATATGCAAATGTTATTCACACACAGTTATTTAATAAAATTTTTATATAGGTGTGTTTGCTTACATTTGTTTTGGATCATGGGATTTGTTTGAGATAATGGGATTTTAAAAATGAAAATTTTTAAATGACTGAACTTAGCTCTGTCAGCTTAGTTCTAGCAAGTACCACTCTTGTATCTGCCAGATCCTACTCAGCAATGTTTTCTTCTAAACCACCAAAGTGTTCATACATAGAAACATAAATTCTGGCATTTTTTTTCAGTTACTCTTTATTCCTAATTTTGATGAGTCATTAGGGGATTATAAGCCAATCATGTTACTGACTCTTGCTTAAAATACTTAAACTTTCCAAAGAGCAAAATGGATACTTCAGCGTGCCAAATAGTAGCATGACTGCTACAATGTCTTTGAAGTCAGTATTATTTACGGCATCACAGTCTAGGTTGGAGTCTTATATTTGAGACATCGTTCTGTTTTAGTACGTGAAACCTTGACGTCTGGACAATAAGAAACTCTATTACGTAGAAGCTGTCTCAAAGAGGTATCTTACTAGCTAGCAGTTCATTGACACAATGATTCTTTACACTTTAAAAGTCCTTTGCTCTACATCTACTTCAAATGCTGTAAGTTCATAAGTCAAGATCTTTACACAATTGTGCTGGTAAAAGGAAAAAAATTGAGCAATGCAGATGTTCTCCAAAGGTTTATCTGTCACCTTTTATTTACTTTTTAAAACCAGCCCCATCTTCCTAATTTAGGGAGGGGCAAAAAAGGTCCATCAGATGCATTAGCAAAAATGCCTTGCCTAAATTCTTGGAAGCAGATAGGATATATCTATTTAAGAAAAATATGATTCTTGTTAAATAGTTAAGGACAAAAATTACTAAAATCACTCTTTATGCTTCATATGATTTTAATAGAGTTTGAAAAAGCATGTATCAGCATTGGTCACTTTGATAATGAGCTTTTCCTATGAGCTTAAACACAAGAATACTGACAATGATCTGAAAGCACACTGTAGATTTTAGCTCACCTTATTTCTTAAGCTGTACTGCCTAAATATTTGCTCTTCCTGTCATAATAAAATAATCTCTGTCTACCCTCCAAGTAACAGTGTGAGCAAGAATCACATACACTCATTACATGAAATGCAGATATTAGATTTGCCTTTCTGCTTAAGTGTCTCCATCTTAGTCCCTTAGAGAACAAATGCTATATCAGGTTTTATAATTATAACTTGTGATGAAAACAATGCATCGGGGCGGGGGGAGGGGGGATTCAAAACACCTGTACTGCCATCTTTTGTTGTACAGAGTTTCTTTTATACCCAGTGGACAAGATGTTCTTTGTAAAGTTGCAAGAAAGCAGAATAACTCCACATAATATTAAGTCAGTTACTTGGAAGTATACCCATGGATACCTGATGATGATTTGATCTTATAAGCTGCAAGATTTTTACACGTGACCAAATGCATACTACTTGCTTTTGCCACTATAAATAAAACTGATAAAAATGTTAACCTTAAAAATGCAGTAAACTAAAAAAATTATTGTTGGGCAGAGGGGTTGCAAAATATTGGGAAATATATGTATTTTATAAAAGCAAGTGCATTGTCCCAGAATTAAGCAATGAAATTTATAGTTAAAGAGACTTAGGACAGTGTGTATCTATTCATAGCAACACACTTTAGATATAATGGATATATCCACATTTTATCATTTAGATTAAATGATCATGAATATAGACCTTTAAAATATGAAATTATGATGTGCTTTGATACATCATAATTTCATTTTGTTTATTTATATCATATGCAATGTAAAAATATGGAGCCTTAAAATGTATTTTCAAATCACATTCTGTTTTGCATCTCTAAGTTTTAAAGATTAAACAGTTGGAAGCACAATTCATATACCTATAAACCAAAGAAGGGTACAGTTTTAAATAATTATTGTCAAGAAACGACAACTGTACTCTTTGTAGAAGCAGGGATGAATAATTACAAAGCTGGGACATAATTAAGCAATTTTGACTGTCGTATTCTTGAGCTGTCTTTCTGATGTGAAGTGCTGTCAAGCCCAGAAATACACTCCATACTGGACAGGCATCTTCTACTTTGATCTATACTTATACCAGTGAAATGAGGTCATGGTCTGGTCATTAAACAAGGCTTCCTCATCTGGCTTAATGCCTCTTATCCAGCCAGGCTTACCCAATCTTTATTAAAATCAGGCATGATACAATGTTCAATATTTTGACAAAAGAAAACATAAACATCACAGAATAATGAAGTTTAGCTCACTTACATAGTGAGATGGAACACTGCACTGTAACATTAAACTGTTTTCTAATAAATGACTGCATCTTTCCATAAGACAGTCATATCACAAACAGATGCATTTTAAACAAAGGATGAAATGAAGCAAAGCACAAGAAAGTGCAGTGTTCTGTTAAAAAAAAAAATGAAAAAATAGGGAAAAATGAAAGTAAAAATTTATACAAAATAAAATATTTATGACTTAGTGATGGCTGGTGATTGCTAGATACTTTTGCATTTGAGTAAACACAATCTAGTCAAATGGAAATTTCTTGCTTTTATTCTCATTTTGTGTATTTTTTCTTGGTGGGGTACTTTGCTGTCCCAAGTATTTCATGTCAAGACTAAAATGAAAACAACTCCCCACATCACAGCCTCTTTAGATCATCAGTCTGCTTTTTATGCTGAATAAGCCATACCATCTCCTGCTTATCATAATGGGGGGAAAAAAACCCACCTAATTTAGGATTTTTGTTTGTTTGTTTGTTTGTTTGTTTTTTCCTGAAAAAGCAAGTCTGATAGGCTCACTGTTGTTACTACATCTGGCAGAACAACATTTCCATGTGGCATCCACCAAGATAAAGACTAATCATTCCAACTCCATTCCTGACAAGCATAGGCCGACACAGTGGCTACTCTCTTAGGGGGAAGGAAAAAAACATTCCTTAGAAGTTCACTATCAGCAGGGTCTTATATCACTAGGTCAACTTCTTAAGGAGTTTTTCTGATGACCAATACTGGATGTGTTGCAGTCTTCCTCTTAGTTTGGATCAAGATGCATTCTCGTCTAACTAGTTTCAGAAAGCTTAGAATATATTACCACTAGCTGTCTGTTAAATTTGGCTGAAGCTGGTCAAAAATCTCAGCAACTATATGGGAGGGGAACTGATGAACAGACAGAGAGCACAAAATTCAGGAAACCTGAACGCTGAAGAATAAAAAAACATTATGTATTCAATATATAACATATGATAGAATTTGAAAGTACAGTTATTGTGCACATCATCTTTGTGATATATAGAGGAATGCTGCTTGTTATGGTCTTTGAGTATAACTATAAATAGCTATATACATACATATCTGCATCTGAAAGCATATATGCAGAGAGGCCTCTATGAGTGTTCTCAGGCGTAAAAAGAGTTTGCATGCATGCATACTATAAGCATGAATATCCTAGGAAACAAGCACAAATTCAAAACAATTTTAAGAGGTTTATAATATCTGTTCTGCATCCAATTTAATATTTATTTTAAATTAGCCACTTCTGTAATATGTATATAATATTGTATGATGAGGGTAATTTTGTAGCACCTTAAGAAGCATAATTCATTCTATGAGAAGCATTTACAATGATTTTACCATCAGCAATTTGTACCAAACCATTTATAAAGAAGGAAAAAAAAAAACCGTTAGTATGGCAATAACAACAGTAAATTTGAGCCTTCTGCAATTTGCTGAAATAAATGTATGTTTTATCATAAGACTTAGTGGGTAAATAATTCAAAACTATACAAAAGGTTCAATTACAGATATAAAAGATAAAGATGTTATCCCTACATTTGTGAAGTAATTTACCCTTAGCTATTGACTTAAGAAGAGGTTTCATCCAGACAAGGAACTTCAAATTTAGGAAACAGACACTTTTTTTCTTCTCTTACACTATTAAGTTGGTTAAAATTCAAAGACCAGATTCTTAAATGAAAAATCTAATTGCTAACAAAATTTAAAAAAAACCACTTCACCAGATCCAAAATCTGATTAGATAAGAAGAATTATAAAAGAAGATAACATACATATGCTATATCTAGCACATTTCAGCTCTTGCATTTGGCCAGATTCAGCAAAGACGGTTTGCAGTGAATAAGATATCCACAATAAGATATCTTAGAAATAAATTTTTTCATTTATTACATATATGAAGCTGAAATAACTAAAGGCAGTGGTAAACGATATATCAAAGCTATGCTTGTATAGAACTGTTAACATTTTAGTAGTTATAAATGAATCAGTCTGAATTAATTTGTTATGCACTGCAATTGTAGTTGTGATAATGCATTTATCTAGCAACATGGTTATGCTACCAAAGAGTGCATTTCCATAACTGCTACATTATTATTCAGCATTATTGGAAATCTGCAATAAATTATTGATGGTATATTTTAGAGAACAAAACAGCAAACAGAAAGCAAGTAGACTGAAAACTTAAGTGGAGTTTTAAGAAAGATCTGCAGCACTAAAGCGCTCTGAAGCTCAGATTTCTATCATCATGTATTGATCAACAATGGAAAAAGAGGGTAAAGTGGAGAATTCACATTCGCATTCTACTTGCATCAGCAGTATGCAATATGCCCAGAGTTGATGCAAGTGGTATCAAAAGCTCAGATACTGAAACTGTCTCTCTGATGTTGTCAATGCTTATTAGCAGGACACCACATTAAGTAACATCATACAAAATTAGAATCAGCTGGTCTACTAAAAGCCAATAAACACCATAGGTGTGAGCTCTGCGACAGACATTTGTGTTCAACATACAAGGCAGGGGACAACTCGTCAGAAAAATCGCATTCTTTCACAAAAGCATATCACACAGTTGTTACATATCTTTAGACAGGGTAAAAATATTCTTCAAAGCTCAGTGACACGTATTAGTTACTTTGTTATATGAAACAGGTTGGAAACCAGAAATTTGATAACACAACCACAGTCCATTAACCAGATGTAACAGTAAAGTTCGATATTAAACCACAGAAAAATTACTAAGGCTTTTGTCCCTCACCTGACCACATTTACCAGTCCTTTCAATTGAAAGCTTTTGTCTGGTACTTTAGCAAAAGACACAGCCAAGCTTTTGGAGTTATTTTAAAACAGTGTTAATGAATCACATTGTTGTTACTTCTTCCATTTACTCTCCTACCTTAGCGTCCTTGGGCTTAACCACTTTCATGAATGCACCTCTTACCAAGGCTTCCTCTCTCTCCCTCCTGGTTACTTTCCGAGTATCGAGAAATTTCAGGTTTGTCAATTTGTGCAGGACAAAATATCTGACAGATAGCAAAATGCACACAGTTAAAATCCAGTAATAAAGACATACTCACAGACTAAATGACTAAAAAATAACAGCAATAAACATCATTAGCCTTTGTTTCCTCTCTCTGTTCACGTTTTTCATGCAACGTAGCTTACGTAAAAAGTTATTATACTTACTTTACTCTCTCAAATGAAGCATGTTGTAAGCTGCCCATAACAATTTAATGCTGGGTGGATCAGACAGATAAGAAAATTATTACCATGGGCGTGTATATTCTCTATAGGTATTAGTGAGGTATAAGGTATACCCAGAAATAGAATAAATTGGAAATTGTTTTGAATTGCCAGTTTGGAAAAAGGACTTTTGAGTGATTCCAAAGATTCCATCCCACATTGCAGGGGAAAACCAATCTAAGACAGGGGAAACTGCCAGCTATTTTCTCTGAAAGAATTCTCAGAAAACATTCATTTGCCAACACTTTTCTTCAGATTTTTATTATATTTTCCTAAAAGCACAATGATCACCAATATTAAAGACATGTGAACAGCAGCAAATCAGGGAGGAGTGTAATTTGTCTTCTACCGTACATCCTAAAACACCATCCTTTGTCTTGAAAGGAGTGTATGTCAATGTTCAAAACTCTTAACATTAAAAAAAAGAATTTGTCAAGAGAAAGCATGGTGAGTTATTCCTGGTCTCTGCTTTCCAGGGCTACATTTTGACACAGGCATCATTTGGAAGGAGAATTCCAATTTGGTCCTGCCAGAGAGACAAGGTATCCTTATGACATATAGATCCCAGCTCAGGATTAAATGCAGAAACACACAAGAAGAGACTATTTTTATGAAAAATACTTTAAGAATTCAAAGTTCTTGTTAGGACCCATCAGTACTGTATGCTATTTAACCTTTTTACTCAAAGTACAGCAGCTTTTTAGCCTCAAAAAAATACCATTGGCTCCTTGCTTGCAGAGGGAGAGAACATGGTAGATCAGAAACAAAGCAAGGCACACAACCATGGCAAATCAAAATATCTGACCACCTCAGGTACACATTATTTACATTTAGTCAGCCAAATATGAAGCAGACATTGCAAAGTGAGGGAAGTGCCAGACTTTTCCTGGCAGGGGGTAGAAAGGTGATTGATAATGTTCCCCATGCCTAGCTTCTCTGCATAAAACTCCGGTCAGTCAGAGAGCCTCCTAATCATACCAATCCCTTCTGACACTGGAAGGAGGAAATCGAAGTAGTAGAAAACTCTGCATAGCATAACATTTTAAAAAAGAACAACACACAAAAAATGTCTTTTAAAAGGTAAGAGTTATCTTATAATACTGTTCTCAAGACTAGATAAACGTGAAAAAGACTGTAAGACTCGCCTTCTATAACCAAGCAAAATTTAATGCTGCAAAGAAACCTTTCCATCAAGTACACCTTTCCTCTGAGGCAACAGCTTCGTAAATTTTTAACAAGTGAACTGAAAATGCTCAGTACTGAAATGCTCAGGCAATTTAAATGTGAATCCTCAAATCTATGATTTTCAATGATATTAGAAGAAAAAGAGAGTCACTTTACAAAACTGAACCTGTCCTAAGACCATTTATTAAACAACAGCTACAGATCTAAGAGACTGACACATTCTCAGACTCCTCCCAGCTTTCCTGGCTGCCCTTCCAGTCCTCCCTGGCATTTTGCTGGCCCTTATCTTTCAGTGGAGGAGAAGCTATCCATCTTGTGTTACTGGCAGAAAAGCTCTGATGACAACAGATTCTTTCAAATGAAGACATGTACAGAAGGAAACAATATGTCAAGAGCGAAGAAGAGTGAAGCTAAAAATGAGTAAAGACACCCACTAAGTGTAGGGTGAGAAAAGATGAATATTCAGGTGAAGAAAACATCAGTATTAGAAAATCAGCAAATGTTTAATGATGGAATGAAATATGCCATTGAAAAGCAGGCTGCAACAAAAATGACAACAGACTAAGACAGCACTGTCATCTATGCTGACTTTGGATCACAGCCCTAATGTCAGTCTCTCAATCATTTCAAAAGAGCTTAAAATTATAATAGCATTCCTTGATACAAACGTATTTTTGTATTTTTAAGCCATCTTGACTGCACTTCAAAAAACAGAATTAGCACCAGTACTTGCTAATTCCAAAAACAAAACCAAAAAACCCTACCCACAGAAACTAAACAGCAGACTACACCACCAGTCACTGGTTTGGGGTTGGTTTGGTTTTTTTAAAAATTGCACTCCTTAAGGAAAGCAAATATTAAAAAGCAAGTACCATAAAGGTTATCCCACCAGTAGAACAAAGGTATATCAGTGATTAATTCTTTTAAAAGGTGATTCAAAATACAGTTCCATTTATTCATATTCCTTTTACTAAATGTGGGATAAAAAGAATCTATATTATATGAAAATAGTACAATACTTTTTTATTAAATGGCTGAAGAAAAGCATTGGGCTTCCTGGATATATTTTAGCTAGAAATATGAAGATGCAGCTTCAATCTAAATATAACACAAGTTTGCCATAAAAAATACAGGAAAGGATTACCAAAGCCCCGGAATGAATACTTCACAATATCAATTCAACCCTTGTAAATTTAATCCAGGGTTATTTGTTGCACAAAATCTCTTTACTGTGATGTATGACTTAGTTACTAAGGTTATCACAGCAGTATCCTGAAGTTGCATAGTACATAAAACATTTCAGTTAACAATGCAGGGAGGTTAACTCCCACAGATAACCTACTATCAGAGGGTTAGACCAGATGACATGCCTCTGTCAGCTTTCAGGAGCTATTGATGGTTCAATCAGTTTGTTTTGAAGGTAAAGTACAACAAAAGGGCACTAAACTTACTCAAACTGTCAACAGGGACTATCTGGAACGTTGCTTGCAGGTAAGTAATTTTGGGTGTTTTAAGACTATTATCAAACACCAATGGCTGCAGAAAAAGACAGCTACTAATAACACAGAATGCAGCCATCATAAAATACTTTATGGCAGGTACTAGGATCCATAAATTGCACGATGCATTGCACCTGTTTCAGACTTGTAAAATCACTAGTTAAGAGAATGCTGTTTAATGAAAAAGATCCATCTAAATTTTACATTATAAGTTTAGAAAGGTTTATTTTATATTAGAGGTTGGGGGGCAGGGTCTTCCTCCTCCCCCCCCCCCTTTTTTTTTTTTTAATCATTTTGAAACTTAGCACTGCTCCATGTGCTCTGAGACTGCTATTACTGGGTTTTAACATCTTTGCAGTGGTGTGAAAAAAGGTTATTATCTTCAGTGATGAGGATAAAGGTGAGCTCCAGAGAGAGAAAAAAACCAGAAACACCAGGAAGGTGTTTAGAGATCCATTTATCACTGCCTGTAAAGTGATCTTCTAATTCATGATGGATTAAGGAAATGAACTATGTAAGTAAAGTTGCATCATCTTTTGTCCAGAATCATCTCCCGCCCTTGACTCCCAATGCCAAGAGTCCCATGAAAATAACCTAATAACAGATAATCATCACACACAAACAGGAACACTCAGAGATGGAAAAAGACCAGAGAATATCACATTTCATGTTATTTCAGTCGTAGTTAAGTGAAAATGACAATAAAGATTAACAACTCATTTACCAATTTTGTAAATGTTGCATGTGATTAGTATTATTTTAACAGTTTTTACACAAACCTGTCAAGATATTGGAAAAGAGGGACAGGCTTGAGGGGGCATTTGCAAAGGAATGCAGTGAGTTTGGGATTCAGCTACTATTGACATTGGCAAAAGCTCAATGGGGCAAAGCCTTCCTTTGAAGAAACATGTTGGAGTTCAGAAAGGGACAGAACAAAGACAGCTTTGAGATCAGCTACTGCTATTTATTAAACAATACACGACTCTAGTTTTTATATAAAGAAATACTGTCTCTGATACTGACTCACTCTACAGCCTTTAATGAATCACAGACTTGTCATCTTAACTCTGCCATACGAACACGGAAACTAAGACCTATCGGTTACCTTGCAGGTACATTCTGTGTATGTTTCTAGTTCTCTACTGTGTAACAGTCATTACTTAAAACATAGCCCTTGCGTTATTCCCTCACCCCCCAAAAATCAGTGATGGTTCACACAATCTTAGGAGAGAGTTTCACAGGTGAAGCAAAAGGGTTCAAAGAGAATGTGTAAGTGTTCCTGAAAAAGATCACATGGAAGAAAGGAACAAATCTATTTTAAACATATGCGAGAAATTTGTCAGTCCTGATCCAAAACACAGAGGTGTAAATAACTTTTATATCAACTCCTTATTTTTGTTAAATAGCTACTGTGTAATTTCATTCTGATCTATTTTTTCAGTAGCCATTTAGGTTCAGGCATAAAAATTCCTTCAGTTCTAACGAGTTTTGGTACACTACTCCTTACTATTATTGAACAGTTCTAAGAAACTTTTATTCTAGAGCTGTGAACACCATAACAAAAAAAACCAACAACCCACACATAATATCATAGCATCTCTGGGCCTCGATTCATTTATTACCTCCCTTGGAAAAGCAGACAAGTTGTAGAACATGGTTGGCCTCCTGATACTGAAAGATAATGGCATCACCCGTGAGCCACAGTATAAGAAAATCTTAGAAGTGGCAATAAATTACTTGGGGAAAGAATGTTTTGGGTTTTTTTTTTCCTCCTTCTACTACAAGAAAAGTATAGTAAATTTGTTTACGTTAGAGTTTCAGAGAAAATAAACTCTTCCACTGAACCTTTAGTGAAAGACTATGGTAAGAACTAGATTCTGTATAGTCCTTTATTTTGTACTTTTATTAACAAAAACTGTACTATATGCATCAATATTTAAGTTTAAAATGCAAAATTAATCTGGCACTGAAAAATTGAGAAATATTTGCCCAGAGAATGCAGAAATGTCTAGCTCTACCCATACCATACCTGCAACATCCTCTTTGTTTCAGAAAGTGTTTACTTTCATTTTTCTATTTTCTGTGCTACTGCATTT